CCTATCTCAAGAAACAAGAACAATCCCAAATTAACAGTCTAAACTCACAATTAAACAAGAAAAATAAAAATAAATGAAACCCAGTTAGTAGAAGGAGAGACATAAAAGATCAGAGCAGAAATAAATAATACAAAGAAGAATAAAAGAATAGCAAAAAATCAATGAAACCAAGAGTTGATTCTTTGAGAAAATAAACAAAATAGATAAAACTTCAGCCAGACTTGTCAAAAAAAATGAGCACACAAATAAATAAACAAAGAAGAATAGTCACAGAAACAAAGAAGGAATAGTTACAATGAATACCACAGAAATACAAAAAATTATTAGAGAATACTATGAAAAATTAGATGCCAATGAACTGGACAACCTAGAAGAAATAGATAAATTCCTAGAAAAATACAACCTTCCAAGGCTGACCCAGGAACAAACAAAATTTGAACAGCCCAATTACCAGCAATGAAGTTGAATTGGTAATCAAAAACTTCACAAAAAACAAAATTCAGGGTCCAATCGCTTCACAGCTGAATTCTACCAAACATACAAAGAAGAGCTAATACCCATCCTTCTTAAGGGTATTCCAAAAAGTAGAAGATAGAATACTTCCAAACTTATTTATGAGGCCAGCATCAGTCTAATACCAAAACCAGACAAAGACACTACAAAAAAAGAAAATTAAAGACAAATATCTCTCATGAACATAGATGCAAAAATCCTCAACAAATATTAGAAAACTCAATTCAAAAATACATCCAAAAGATCATCTATCATGACCAACTGGGATTTATTCCAGAGATGCAGGATGGTATAATATTTGTAAATCAATCAATGTCATACACCACATTAACAAAAAAGATAAAAACCACAGGATCATCTCTATAGATGCTGAAAAGCATTTGACAAAATTCAATATCCACTCATGATAAGAACCCTTAGCAAAATGGACATAGAGAGTACATACCTTAATGTAATAAAGACCATACATGATAAGCCCAGAGCTAGTATCATACTTAATAGTGAAAAGCTGAAAGCTTTTCCTCTAAGACCAGAAACAAGACAAGGATGTCTACTCTCACTACTTTTATTCATCATAGTACTAGAGGTCCTAGCCATGGCAGACAACACAAAGAGATAAAGGCATCCAAACTGGTAAGGAAAAGGTTAAACTGTCACTATTTGTAGATGACATGGTATTATACATAAAAAACCCTAAGGACTCCACCAAAAAACTATTATAACTAATAACTGGATTTGGCAAACTTGCAGGATACAAAGTTAATACATAGAAATCTGTTGTATTTCTATATACTAACAACAAATTATCAAAAAGAGAAATCAGGAAAACAATTCCATTAACAATTGCATAAAAAAGAATAAAATACCTAGGAATAAACCTAATCAAGGAAGTGGAAGACCTATACTCTGAAAACTTTGAGACATTCATGAGAGTAATTAAAGAACACACAAGTAAGTCGAAATCTATCTTATGCTCATGGATAGGAATAATTAATATTGTCAAAATGACCATCCTGCTCAAGGCAATTTACAGATTCAATGTAATCCCTATCAAAATACCAACAGCATTTTTCAATGAACTAGAAGAAATAGTCCCAAAATTCATCTGGAACCACAAGAGACCCAAATAGCCAAAACAATCCTGAGAAAGAAGAACAAAGCTGGGGGTATTATGCTCCCTGACTCCAAGCTCTACTACAAAGCTACAGTAATCAAAACAACATGGTACTGGCACAAGAACAGATCGCATAGATCAATGAAAGAGAATACAGAGCCCAGATATAAACCCACACATATATGGTCAATTAAATACAATAAAAGAGACATGAATATACAGTGGGGAACTGACAGCCTCTTCAATAACTGGTGTTGGGAACATTGGACAGCTAAATGCAAGAGAATGAAACTGGGTTACTGCCTAACTCCATATGCAAAAGTAAACTCAAAATGGATTAAAGACCTGAATGTAAGACATGAAACCATAAAACTCATTGAAGAAAAGAGGCAAAATCTCTTGAATGTATGTATGAGCAATTTTTCCTTGACACATCTCCTTGAGCTAAGGAAACAAAATAAAAAATGAACAAGTGGGACTACATCAAACTTAAGAGCTTATGTACAATAAAGGACACCATCAGCAGAACAAAAAGTCAACTGATGGTATGGAAGAATATATTTGTAACTGATATAAGGGGTTAACACACAAAATACATAAAGAGCTCAAAAGCCTCAACACCAAAAAAAACAACCGAGTTAAAAAATGGGTGGATGACCTTAACAGGCACTTCTCTGAAGAAGAAATACAGATAACCAAGAGGCACATGAAAAGATGCTCCACATCACTAATCATCAGGGAAATAAATACAAATCTAAACCACAATGAGATATCACTCTACACCAAAATGACCACTATGCAAAATTCAAGAAATAACAAGTGTTGGTTAGGATAGGAACCTCTTACACTGTTGGTGGGAATGTCAGTTAGGGCAGCTACTGTGGAAAGCAGTATGGAGGTTCCTCAAAAAACAAAAAATAGAAATACCATTGAACCCAGTAATTTCTCCTCTAGGAATCTTCCTTAAGAAAACAAAATACCTGATTCAAAAAGATATATGCATCCCCATGTTTACAGCTGCATTATTTACAATAGCCAAGATATGTTATCAACCTAAGTATCCATCAATAGATGAATGGATAAAGCAGATGTGGTACATATACACAATGGAGTATTATTCAGCCACAATAAGAAAAGAAATCGCCCAAAGCTTCTGGTGGCCAGCTTGAGTGGGAGCAATGGCTAAACATCATCCGGACTTGATATTTTGCCGCAAACAGTCTGGTGTTGCCATCGGAAGACTGTGTGAAAAATGTGATGGCAAGTGTGTAATCTGTGACTCCTATGTGCGGCCCTGCACCCTGGTGCGCATATGTGATGAGTGTAACTATGGCTCTTATCAGGGGCACTGTGTGATCTGTAGAGGCCCAGGAGTCTCGGATGCCTATCATTGTAAGGAATACACCATCTAGGAGAAGGATGGAGATGGTTGCCCAAAGATTGTCAATTTGGGGAGTTCTAAGACAGATCTCTTCTATGAACGCAAAAAGTATGGCTTCAAGAAGAGGTGATTGATGGGCCTCTTCCTCCCCCAATCAAGGTGCTCCAGCTTCCAGAAAAAAATGCCTACTACCGCCAGCAGAGGGAGGGAGTGCAGAGAATCACCTGATCTGTTAGTATGCTGGCGCCTTTCCACCCTTTCCTGTTCTCACCCAGTCGTGTGGTAGAAATGGAAAAGATTGCTCACAGAGCACTCTGGCAGATGTATCAGAGACAGATTGACAGATTAGTTCTTGGTTTTTCTTGAATTCAAGGAGTCTGCTTCCCAAATTGGTATGGTCTCTCTACACCAAGAGCTTCTAAAACAGGAATAAAAGCATTTCAGTTTTGTGAAAAAAAAAAAGAAAAGAAATCCTGCCATTTGCAACCACATGGATAGATCTAGAAGGTATTATGCTCAGTGAAATAATCCAAGCAGAGAAAGACAACTGCCTTATGATTTCACTTATTTGTAAAATATAAATACAAAGCAGAACAGAATGAACAAAACAGCAGTAGACTCATAGACACGGAGAAGTGACTACTGGTTACCATGAAGGAGGGGTTGGTGTGGGCAGGTAGGGAGGGAGGTTGAGGGGGATAAATGGGCACAAAAATTCTCAATCATACTGTAACTTGGTCATGGGGATAGTAGTACAGCATGGAGAATACAGCCAATGATTCTGTTAACATCTGTAAGTTATTCTTACACTAAGTTAACAGATAGTAACCCGACTAGTGAGGGTGAGGATTTAATAATATGGATAACTGTTAAGTCAGTGTGCTGTATATTTGAAACCAGTATAAGATTGTATATTAATGATACTTCAATTAAGAAAAAAAGGGATGCAGTGGTTCTGAGGATCTTCTAGATAATTGTGGTATGGTTTCATCCAAGAACAGTGTTTCTGATTTACAGCCTGATGTTACTGACTGATTACCTTCCCTTGTATTTCTTCTCCATTCTCTGGCCCTTATGTCACTTAATTTTAGGACATTTCACAATTTTCCTTTATTGGCTCTGAGCATCTTCCCACATACTTTGCCCTATGCATCTTTTCCATCTGGCTGTTTCTGAGTTTATATCCTTTTATAATAAGCTGGTGATCTTGTAAATAAGTAAAATGTTTGAGCTCTATAAGCACTAGTAAACTTATTGAACCTGAGGAGGGGTTCTTAGAAATCTTTTATAGCTAGTCAGTCCAGAGAAGCACAGGTTACAATGTGACATCTGAGGCAGGCGTGTGGAGGGCTGTCTTGTAGGGCTGAATGCTTATGTGGACTCTAGTACTGTCTCTGGATACTGGTATCACAACTGAATTGAATTGTAGGACACCAAACTGGTGTCCAGAGAATTGTTCATTGGTGTGAGGAAACCCCCTTCACACACTGAAATTGGCTGCTCAGAAACAAAGAATACAGATGCAGAATATATTACTCTTATTTATTCTCTTTTTATTTCTCATCTGAGACCAAACTTCAAAGAAAAGGGTACATTTGTTAAACTCTTACCCTCACAAACCATTTATCTCTACTTCACTTATCAAAGTTTAATTTTATTTTTGTGTGATTAACAATTGTCTCCTCCATTAGCCCATAAGTCACTTAAAGCTAGAGACTGTGTGTGTCCACTTTTGTTTACCATTGAACCTCCCGCAACTAGCACAATGACTGGCCATTGGAAGACATTTAATAGCTTTGAACAAATGAATGAATAAGTAAATGTCAGTTCATTATAACATAAACACTTTTGTAAATGCCAGTTAGATTAAGAACATTTGTAGATTATGAGTTTTTACAGCTTTATAAATGTATTTTCACAAGTATGCACTTATTAACATTAGGAAGGACAATTCTTTAAAAAAAACAAATGGATCAAATAAAGTACACTTACCCTTCTATAATCAATGCAAGAGAGCCCAATAAAATAGTATGAATCACATGATATGTTATTTCTGGCCTTTCTCCAATTCGTCCATCCTCAAGAGTAATAGTTTCTTTCAGGGACTTCTTACCACTAAAGAAAAGAAATGTTTTTTCACTATTTTGAAAATATGTATTTGAAAAATGAAAGATCTTAAATTTCTTCATAAGAATAAATATAGGTGGTTTGTAAAATCTGAAAGTATATTCTGCTAGTCAAACGCTTAGCTTACAGATCAAAGTCTTTGAAAATGGCTTTTAGAACCTAAAGACAACTGACTCAGTGAAGACTAAATATGAAAGTTCAAGAAATGTAATAAAAGGCTTTTAGACTGTTCATCAGTTATCACTCAACTAGTGACTGCTAAACCAATATAGCTAAATCAAATAACTAAGTTCTTGAAATTGAGATACCATATATAACCTCTTTTCAAACATGAAATATTTTACAAAATAGTTAAATTTCATAATTTAAAATCACTTATACTACTAGCTTAAATAGAAGTTATTCTTACACTAAGTAAAAATTTTAGTGTATTGGTGGTAAACAAATTGGTAACAGAGTTTAACTGATTATTTAAATATTGTTCCTACATTAAATATGAACATATGTATTGAGATATATAAATTTAAACTTTATCTGGTTAACTTACAATGTTATTTTACACACTGATGAAGAAATAATGGAATTAAAGTTCTAAAACAAATACACCTTATTAGAAGGATATTGAAAATAAATATTTTATATTTTTGCAATGTATTAGTTAATGTGATTGATTCTCATAGGCACTCACTTAATTCTCCAAAAAATAACTTGCATCATAGAAAGAAAACAAATAATTAACACTAAAATATAGAAAGGTAATAAAGAAGACTGTGTCAATCGCAAAAAAAAGTCTTGAGATGGTGTTTGCAGAGATTCTTGACACAGGAGCCAATTCATTGTAAAATTCCTACAGAAAACAAAAAGTATATTCAATTCACAGGTGTTTAAAACTACTGAACACAAAAGTATTTTTTTATCTCAGTGGAAGTTAAAACAAAAGAAAACACAATCCCTAAATCCATGCACTTACTAAACAGCAAGATTCCAGCCTGCCTAAATGAAGTTACTAGCATTAGTAACCCTCCTCAACAAAATGCCCTACTAAATGTAAAATTGATTTTTATTATCCAGTAATGTGACCATCTCTAGAACCCAATACAGTTTTATGGACATTTCACTTTCTATTGTTATCTGGAAGACAACAAAAAATTCAGCTGAGCAACATCTGTCTGTGTGCTGCTACCCAATATGGTAACTAAATACGTATGGCCAATAGCACATGAAATATAGCAAGCACAAATGGAGATATACTTTAAGTACAAAATACACTCTGGACTTCAAAGATAAAAAGGAATGAGAAAAGGAATAAATTTTTTAAATTTCAATAATTTTTATATTGTTTACACATAAAAATATTTTTAATTATGATTAAAGGAAACATGTTATTAAAAATCACTTGTCTTTTAATTTTTTAAAAATGTGGCTACTAAAAAATTACATATGTGACTCATGTTATATTATTGTTGGACAGCCCTGTTTCATGTTGATAAATGTAACTCAACTAGGACCCACTTTAAAAATAGACACCTAATTATTAAGATAATAAATCATAAAATTTGAAATGTAAGTATTTTGAGCTATAAGAATCATTATGAACTTTTTTTTGACCCAAAGTTAAATATGATCAACAAAACTCCTAGTACATGTAGTTTATTTGCATTCTTACTCCCAGTCCATCCCCAGCCTCCATTTTATCCTCAATCCTTAGCCCTGGAAAAGGAGAGAAGAGATGGAGCAATGTACAGGAATGCTCATTGATGCACTGAGAATACCTGCTTCACAAATCACTGGCTTTAGAATAAAAGGTTAATAAAGCTGTATCAAAGAAGCTGACATAAAAGTATCTTGTACCTATGACAAATGTACCTCTTTTTTCATTTGCCTATTAAAGTTACTAATTCTACAAGGTCCAATTCAGATTCCAACTTAGTGAGCATTTTTTCCATATCCTCTAATCTCAATCTTTCCTTTCCCGTATTCTCATGGCATTCTACTAACCCCTATTATTATAGTGCTTAAGTCTAGTCAGCTGTGTTAGACTGTAGTCATTTTTGTATCTCCCAAAGTACCTAGCTTGGTATCCTGTACATCCAATAAATATTAACATTTCTTTGATGGCTCTTGAAATTTGTCTCAGTAGAAATGTTTCCTGAAATTCTGGTGAACTACAAATCCTAATACCCAACTGGCAGATTTGAGCATAAGGCATTTACCGTTTATACCACCCATATCATTAACTGTAAAGAGATTTGAAATGTAAGTATTTCAAATAAAGAATGAGACTGCAGTATCCTTAAGGACAAGGACCATGCCTTATTCTGAAAACATCCTGTGCATTACTAGTGAAGCAATCTAGTACCTGACATGCTGAACAAAGGGGTACTACATAACATCAACTAAGAAACACTGGACAAAAGCAGCCCTTCATCCTGGCTCCCAAGGTTAAAGAGATAGCCAGTGGACAGGTCAGTTCGGAAGCTCTATAATCAATTTTTACTAATTGCCTGCTAAGTGTCAGGCCTATACATACTATTTAAAAAGATAGTCCCTACCCTCATGCACACAACCCCTTTTAATGTAAGCACTTTGCTCATGTAGTGGTTTAAGATTACTTTGGCTCTTCGTTCATTTTAAATCTAATGTACTCGGACTTTAGGTTTTATCATTGTTCCTCATCAAAAGATAGCCTCAAAATACTGTGATGCCATTGTGGTTTAAGTATATTTGATTTATAAAATACTTAAATGAGATATTTTTTAAATAAGAAAAAATATTAATGTCATACCATTTCTAGATATTATAATATCCCAAATTGATTATTTTCTAAGTGGTAGGTAATTAGGTACATATTCCTTCCTTTGATTGTTTTGCTCTTTAACTTCTAAGTGGTATAGAGTTAGGTAAACTTATGTAATCTAAAACTTACTTAGTTATATTTAGTCCAAATTTTGCTTCAAGGAATTTCAGCATGTGCCCATTTTCTTTGTGTGGGACAAACATCTGCAAAAGAAAAACCCTAGTTACAATAAAGAACTATTAGCTATGCCTTACAGCAACATGCGTTTGTCTAATCCTAGAAATAGAAAACACAGTGGACTACAAAAGAAAAAATATGAATTAAATAAAGTATGGTATGACTATGAAGCAAGGAGATTTACTGGTGTAAGTCAATCACATTGTCTTATAGTTAAGCAAAAAACTAGAATGGGGTAGTAAGAAGATGTCAACTTTATCCCACCTGGCTTAACTAACTTACGAACTCTTGGACAACTTTTACTTGTCTCAATTTACTCCATATCTTACTTACTGTTAACTGAGTAAGATAACATTTTAAACGAAATGGAAAATAAAGTGTATTTTTTAAGTATACTTACAAAGAATCAGAATCCTATTTTCTCACCTAAAAACTAAGTATGATCATTGTTAAACTCAAAATTTTAACATACAAACTCTATTACCTCGCTATCTCATTACTCTCATTAAATTTAATCCAGTATGCTTATTCAATTTGCTCTACTACATGAATCTCCAGTTACTTACCTTCATTATAATATTCAGTGTCACTGTCAGAGTACACACCAAGTAAAAATTAATCACTTTTATCATTTTAGCTATAAAAGTGCCTTTTTTCACATTCAGCTGTGGGGGGTAAAACATATGAACAAAGAAGTGAGATATAAAAAATTAATAACTAAAAACTTCACCACAAAAAGGATTAAAAGGCAATTCTAATTACCTGAAGGCATTTAGCAAGCATTAAGGCCACCACTAAACTTAATAAAGGAGATACCAATAAGGCTGAATTCTCAAACTGCAGTAAATATCCCAGAAAAAGAGAAAATATATAGATTTTATAAACTTCATGAACCTGTTGGGACAAAAATAAAATGAGAACAAAATGAATTTTATTGTATATCTTTTCATTAGTTTTGTTTAGAATAGGTTTGACTGAAATTATAAAGTAAATGTTCTAGTATGATTTAGGATAGTATTGTACAAATGTTCAATTTGTATTTTTAATGATATGGCATGTATTGAATTTATTACTTTTTTCTTAGATAGAACTCTTGCAAAACTGTGGAAATTTAGATCAAACTAGAAGAATTTTATTTAGTCCCAGGTTCTGACTTAATTTCACTTGGCTTACCTTTTTATTAAAATCTACCTACACAACATCAAACTACATAAATAAAAAATCATGGTCTTTAGCAGCAGATCCCAAAACCTACCCCATGAAAATATCCTGACATGAAATGTTTTACTAGAGAAAAGTATTTTTGCATTTGGTTCATTTACAATGAGTATAAGAAAGTTAGATTAGGGTCCTAATAAAAGATCTCTCAGGTAAATTTTGTTTTAGTAGATTTCTTTTGTAAAACTCAATAGTATGATAATCTAATCTAGCATAAGATTAATTCCTTTTAGAAAGGGGAAACTGAGACAAATATAAGCATTAGTTGAGGGAAAATTAAAAGGCACAGTGTTAAAAGTAAAATAATAGGAAAAAAAAAACAAAGAAAAAATAAAAACCCAAGAGGCCATGTAGAAAAAAGATACCTCACTGCTGGAAGGCTGAAGCAACAGCTGAGTGAGGGCATATTAGGACCCTCTAGGTGCTGATAATGTTCTATATCTTGATTTTGAGTGCTCGGTTCTGCAGTTACTGAGTACCTGTCTCTTAGTTCCAACCTACCCCTCTATCCCCTCCCTCATAATGCTGGGACTTGGAACTCAGCACTCTATATTTCGGCCTTTCTAATTGTCTCTCTCTTAAGCTCTGCCAAGAAGAAATGCTAGAGAGAGTTTACGAGGTTAGAGGAGAAAGGAAGAGCCTGTTCCTTCCTGTTGCTTCCTGTCTGCTTGTAGTTCCCGTGAGCATCACCTCAGCAATTCTTACTCACTCCAACAGTGATTCTCTCCTGTTGAAGCAGCTGAATACAGCGGCAGTTTCCCAACACTCAGTGAACCAGTTTTATTACATACTCTTCCCCAGAGACCCCAGGACCAGCTGGCCAGAGCCCGTAGGATATGGGTTCCATTTCCACAAGGTCCTTCTTTCCAGTTCAGAGACACCAGGTAAAGCTGAGTGGTGGCCCCTCCTCAGCAGTCTGAGTTTCAGCTCCATGGGGTCCCTCTTCTAAATTTTTACATTTTAATAATCCCAAATTCTTCTATTTGTTCCCTCAGCTCCAGGGGCAGTAGCTGCTTCCTGAAGTTGCTACCTCTATGATACTTACTTATTACCCTTTCAATTAACAAGTTAATGCCTTTAGATTTGGTTAGTGATTTATTACGTTAAATTATCTCTATTTAAATAATCTAAATGTTGGTACTCATCAGGATTCTGGACCATCAGAGTACATGGGATGAAGAAAAGGAAGAGAAGAAAAAGGAGATCCTCAAATTTCTGGCTTGGATAACATATTAAATACTTCATAAATATATATAAAGAAAGAAAGAATAAGAAAGGGTCAAGAAGAAAAAGATAAAGAAACAAAGGAACCAAATGTTGATGGAACCTTCAATCAGTGCTGACAGGAATATAAATTGATACAACCATTTTGGAGAAAGGCTTGGGATCTAGTTAGGTTGAATATGTACATATCCTTTTACTTGTAATTCCACCATGAGGTGTTTACTCTAGAGAAATCTTGCACTTATGTGTCAGGTGACATGTATAAGAATGCTTGTAACAGCACTGATCATATGTACAATAAACTGGGAAAAACTGAAATTGATTTGAAATTAATTGAAAAATTAGACAATAGATGTAAAAAATAAATAAAAATGAATGAAATATAGCTTTGTACATCACCATGGATGAATCTCAAAAGCAAATCAGGCAAAGGTAAACAATACATTATTTATAACATATTTTTTAGGAATACATAGCTAGGTGGTTAAAAAATATGAAGAAAAAGAAGGAAAGGATGAACAAAATTCAGGACAGTTAGGCTCTGTTGGTAAAGGAGCAGAATGTGTCTTGGGTGAAATCAGAAAGGGGGCTTCTGGGCTATCAAGTGTTCCATTTCTTGGCCTGGTTAGTCAAATACTCATATTCTAAACATGTTCTAAATTTCTTTTTTTTTTTTTAAATAAAGAAACAGAAAGAGAAGGAGAAATTGCTAGAAATGGAGACAAAACACAGGCTGACTTTGGTTAAGCAGACTATACTTAAGGGAATTTCAAAATGCTTCTAGAAAAGGCTAGGGAGAATGGGTCTAGCAATCTTTTGAGTAAAAGTGTCAGAATATTTTAAAATAAAGCTGTAAAAGCAAATGGTTTCAAGATACAACACCATAAAAACATTTATTCTCTAGATTTAAAATCACAATTCAAAATCACAAATACCTTGTCACTTAGCTCCACTGAAAAACTATCTAGCAAGAACAGAGATATTGCTTGTAGAAACAAGAGATAGTGGCTGTACTCCCACATCATCATAAATGTGTAAGTTGAAGCACTGATCAACAAGTAGCAAAACCTCTAGGGAAAACAAAAGAAAGAAACTAAGTATCAACAGCTTTATTACCATAAAAATCTATGAAGTTGTTGCCTCAAAGTTGCAGCTGTTATTCAACTTTAAGCTACATAATTCTTGAAGCTATATTTTTAAATGACATAATTATAATTATATCCTTAAATAAACAATAAGATCTTAAAGCACTCTAGAGAAATCAACCTACTTGTCCTTCAAAGTTAAACATCATATTGAGAACTTGAGGAAGACAAAGGAAAAAAAATTCAGTACAATTTTTCTTTCATCCCCTGAGGAGTAAAGTAATAAATATTAGAAAATGGTGGCTTTTATTCATCTTGGCCTGTGGGCTTCTGTTATTGTGAAAGTAACTCCTTTCACCCTAGGAAATATTTTCACTTCCATGCACTTCCTATTTTCCTAAGAGCTTCCAATTAAATAATCGTTATGTCTCAGCCTATTCTACAGTCCACTGAAAAGAGCCCACTGCTATTTTCATTTCCTTTCAGCAAAAGTGTTCCCTTCTCTTTCCCAAATGCTTGTATCATCCATCACAAAAACTCTGAGCTGCTTTTCTCTACTAAAGGACTAAACACAAGGATTTCATTGTCCTTGCCTTAAAAATGCCTGGCTAAAATTAATTCTCTCCTACCAAATGTCATCTCCCAAGTGATCCCTTAGTGAAGAAACCAAGTCTGACAAATCCCCTGTCCCCTGGCATATTTCTAATAAGTCTCTACTTCTTCCAGGGTTCTGCTTTTTGACTCCCAATTCCTCCACCAGCCATGGTGTCAAACGACTTTGTTCTGACAAGAATAGTGAAGGAAAAGGACAGTAAGTGTCAAATCAGGAAACCTAAGATAAGAACCATGTTCTTTAAAACTAAGTCTTTCAGACTCAGACTCAGTTTACTATACTCAATAATAAATCTACAGTCAGAAATACCTTAGGCCATCAGCACACAGAAGAGTTTTCCAGCATCCTCAGTAAGATTAAGACCAGAGAACAAAATGTAAGAGAGAGAAAAATTCCATCAGTTGGTCGAAGAATACCAACTGCAAGGCCCCAAAGGGCTCAGTACTGACAGAACACAAACGTCTGCTCCTCCTATCACCATGCCTCTAAGAGAAAGTGCTCTGGAAACCTTCCCAGGAGGAACAACCAGAGCTGTAATGACCAGGCCTGAAACCATCATCCCCAAAGAAGCCAGCTCCAGAGATCAATGAAGGCACAAATCTAGATCCAGCCCAGTTAACCTACTGGCCATTTGGAAATTACTTTGGGGATGCTGGGGAAAAGCTACGATATAATGAAACAAACTGCTAATTCCAAGGGCTTAGTCTCAAAAATTACTCTGAGAACATACAGTAAAAATAAGATAGACATACATGTTAAACACAATCTGGACAATTAGTTTAGCTTTTCCTTTCTCTGAGCATTTCAAATTTTCTTACAGTTCAAAAATTCTTCTTCTGAGAATTTCAAAATCCTGTGCATTCTTGTCTATCCCTAACCTTGCTCACTTCACTTTTCAACTATGCCTCTTTGTGAAAATGTTAATATCTATTACTTAAGTGCACATTAAATTGTTTTCAGTAATCAAACACAGATGTCTCTATATGGCTCCAGATGACTGCACAAAAGATCTGAGCTTGGATATCCTGATGCAACTAGAACCACAAGATCAAGCTTCAAGAGTGGGAAGCAAAGCACAAAATATATGATTAAAATACATATGTTGCTGGAATACTACTCAGCAATAAAAAGGAGCAAACTATTGCTACCTAAAACAATTTAGATGTCTGTGGAGGGCATTAGACTAAATGAAAAAAAAAAAACCACCTCAAAGGATAACATACTATACAATTCCATTTATATAAACTTTCAAAATGATAAAATTGTAGTGAGGGAACAGATCAGTGGTTGTCAGAGATTAAGTTGCAGGAAAGGTGCCACCATTAGTGGGTAACTTAAGGGAGTTTATTTGCAGTGATGAAACAGTTCTTTATCTTAATTATGGTGATGGTTACTCAGATTTACATGCAATAAAAATCTATAGGACTATACACCCCTTCCCCAAAAAAGGAGTGAATGTAAAAAAGGTACGATAAAAAACACATATATATATATATATTTAGTCTTAATTAGTTTCACTCACAAAAAAATTGTAGAAATAGTAGAGAATTCCCACATACCCCCTCACCCAGCTTCCCCAATGACAGTATCTTACTTGACCACGATACATTGTCAAAACCAGGACATTGACCTTCATACCACACTATTAATTCAAGAATAGATCTTCTTTAGAATTCAACACACATACACACAGCACAGGCAGGAATGCATTGAGGTGGGTGAACATGGTTGAAGGATTGGGCAGTTTTGCTTTAAAAAAACTGAACTGTTGCATAGAACGGACTGGGTTGCCATACGGGAGGGGAGTGGGGAGATAAATGAAATAGATGAAGAGAGGGAAAAAAAATTAGAATGTTTCATATCTTGATCTGGGTCATGATTACATGAGTGTATACATGTCAAAATTCATCAAGCTGTACACTAAGATTTGTGCATGTATTGTATGTATCTCAATATAAAAACTAGTAATTTTGAAAAAGGAAAAAATTGAGTTGTTAAGGTGAAGGATTAAGAATACATCATAGTTAACTTGCTTTTTTTTCCCTGCCATATGTTTTTACAGAATCTTTAGTATGGTTACCCCTTTAATATCTGCTTAGAGATATTATGCTTTTACTGTGTACTCTTGGGAACAAGATGAATGGCTAATTATAAATAATCAAATAACTGATAAATCCAATTTTTCCCCTTTACCTTAATATTAAGAGAGAAAGAAGGAGGGGGAGGGAAGAAGAATGTTATGGAGCACTTCTAAAATACAGAAAAACAATTGTGATTAAATAAACAATGAGAAATAAACTATAACCTTATATAAGAGTACAGTTGATCCTTGAATACCAAGGGTTTTGAATTGTGCAGGTCCATTTATATGCAGATTTTTTCAATAAATATGTTGGAAAGTGTCTTGGACATCTGAGAGAATTTGAAAAAAAGATTTTCTTTTCTCTAGCTTACTTTATTGTAAGAATACACTATATGATACATATAACATACAAAATATGTGTTTATCAACTGTTTATGTTATTGGTAAGGCTTCCAGTCAATAGTAGGCTATTAGTAAAGTTTTGAGGCAGTCAAAAGTTATATGCAGATTTTTGCACAGGGAGTTGGTGCCCCTAACTCCCATGTTGTCCAAGGGTCAATTGTATAAGCTAGCCCTGGATCCCTTCAAAAAAGTACAGGGTTTGGGTAAACAACAGTGAACTGGGAGAAATATACTTCTCACTATATATCCATTTGCACTGACAGATTTTTTTTTTACCATATGCATAATGTATATGTATTACCTTTTAAATTAAAAAAAGCTAGAATAAAACATATTAGAAAGAATATATAACATGGAAATGAAAAAATACAGAAAAATATTAAATATGGTATAGAAGGGAGAAAATAAGTTTACACATCACACTACCTTTACCATCACACAAAACTTCTTTTGAAATAATAATAAGATTTTATTTCAAGACAGTTTATTAAACCTTTTTTTAGGCAACAAAGCTTCATTTTAGCTCAAAAATAAAGGTAAATACAAAGAGGCTTAGGCAGTTCACTTTGCCATACTAAACTCTTTCATTCACAGGTTGAAGAACTACTTCTCCCCAGGAGAAGGCTATATGATCTAACAGGAAAACAATCACAGACTCTCTATTACAGAAAACATTCTTGCTCAGAAAGCTCTTTATACAACATAAGGAAAATTACAAATCTGAAATGCATTCATGTTATTTACATAAAAAAGAAAATACTAGAGTTATAAAAAAATGAAATAACTTTACTATACTTGGAACATTTGTCATCACTAAAAAGGGGAGAGAACAGATATTTCAGAAGTAACCATAAATGCATCCTATTTCCCAGCCAACTAGGCTCAACAGAAGCCTTTCCTTAGTCCTATGGTCTCTTCTTTTAGCCAGGAATTCTTAGCCCCAGATAGGCAGACTGTCAAAAGGTTGCTACATTTTAGTCAATTTCAATATATTTAGTTATTTTTAAAATCGCATTTTATGCACTTAAAATGAATATTCTGGGGGGCGGAGCCAGGATGGCGGCGTGAGTAGAGCAGTGGAAATCTCGTCCCAAAAACACATAGAGCTATGAAAATATAACAAAGAAAAATCTTCCTAAAATAGAGACCACAGGACACAGGACAACATCCAGACCACATCCACACCTGCAAGGAACCAGCGCCTTGCGAAGGGGGTAAGATACAAGCCCCGGCCCGGCGGGACCCGAGCGCCCCTCCCCCCGGCTCCCGGCGGGTGGAGAGAAACCGGAGCG